ATATTTCATGTCATGCAGATCCACAAATATTTCATGTCATGCAGATCCACAAATATTTCATGCGATGCAGATCCACAAATATTTCATGTAAAAATAAGATACACAAATATTTCATGTAAAAATAAGATACACAAATATTTCATGTAAAAATAAGATACACAAATATTTCATGTGATGCAGATCCACAAATATTTCATGTGATGCAGATCCACAAATATTTCACGTAAAATAAGCCCACAGTCTCCAGCCCAATAACCAGAGGGTGAAGAACCAGCTGCAGATAGTACTTGGGTTTGTCCAGACTGGCAAGTCTTTATACCAGGCACATCAGTCCAATGGGTGCAAGTCCCGTCGGGTTTGTCCAGACTGGCAAGTCTTTATACCAGGCACATCAGTCCAATGGGTGCAAGTCCCGTCGGGTTTGTCCAGACTGGCAAGTCTTTATACCAGGCACATCAGTCCAATGGGTGCAAGTCCCTTTGGGTTTTGGCCAAGATGGCTCCAAGTGACACGGGGACCACATCAACTGAGCTGTGTTCGCTCACTACAATCAACAGTTTATGTTTAGATATAAACAAAGTAGATTCAAAGCCACAATGATGCCTACAATGTGGAGGTCATCAACAAGGAACACAAACAAAGAGTAGAGTGCCAACATACACAAGTATTCACTGCTTTACTGGAATCATAATATAGCCTTTGATATGTACAAAACACAGCTATGTATAATGTACCAACAATCACATACATATATGCAGTCTGATATGTATGTAACAAAACCCAGCTAGTTTTATGTACCAACAATATCAACAATCATGTACATATATATTTAGATATGTACGTAATAAAACCCAACTAGGTATAATGTAAAAAAAAAACATAAACAAACACATAAAGGTATCGAGTTTAAGATGTACAGAACAAAATACAGCTACTTATTGTGTCTTTAATATCAACAATTACATTCAAAAACAGTCTGATATATATATGTAACAAAACCCATCTACATACGATAGATCAGCAATTACGTATATATATAGTCTGATATGTATGTGAACAAAACCATCTACGTACGATATATCAGCATTCACATACACACACAGAGGAGGACAACTGCCCTAAGCAGCCTCTAGTGTGGGTATTTTCACATTTGTTGGTCATCTGTGTTCAAACAAAAGGTAGACAACTCTGCTGAAACAGTAACACCGCATATAGCTCAGTAACGCCCCTTGTAGACTTACAAAGAACAAAATGTATAAGAAAGAAGGTAGCGTGGAGACCTTTCTGAACACTGTGACTATGTCTACAATACTGGTGACAGAGAAAAGTGTCTGGAAGGACAAACAAAGTACACAGTTGTGCCTGCCTACACTGTGACTATGTCTACAATACTGGTGACAGAGAAAAGTGCCAGGAAGGACAAACACAGTACACAATTGTGCCTGCCTACACTGTGACTACACTGTGACTATGTCTACAATACTGGTGACAGAGAAAAGTGTCAGGAAGGACAAACACAGTACATAATTGTGCCTGCCTACACTGTGAGCAGTATATGATGATAGGGCCAGCATGTACAGTCAAGAAAACGTGCGCACACACTGAGACTGTCATGTCACTGGGGATTACCTCCATTAACTGAAGAGACACCACTCAAAGGCTGATGTAGGCATTACCTTCCCCAGCCACCTTTACTTCCCATAAATCTTTGTGGTATCTACTGTACACTAGTTCAAGCTGTTACCTTTACCTGTATAATTCCGGGGTCCAAAATGGAGGGCAAGAACAGTAACTCTGTCACCTAGCATGCATGTCCTAAGGGGCCTGGAAGGAGGGTCTGTTGGTATGAGACTGACTAGGTAATCCTGCAGAAAATTTTAACTAAACAAAATCGACCAATGATAGATAGGTGTCATCTTAGTGACAGGAATATTGGCTTTATTTATCTTTACATCAGTACAATTGTAAACAATAACAATAAAACACACATATAAAACTATTATCAATAAAAATTGTAGTAAAAAAATCCAATGCAGTTTGACTGTATAGAAATATATCTCAGTATAAGAATTAAAATAACATCAACAGACTGCAGCAGTGAACCTCAAGAAGAAGAAGAACAACAGACTTGACATTAACGAACTGTGGCATCCTGCGACATCCCATACATGAGAATATCTGGCCCCACCTCTGTACCCTGCAGTCAATGTAGAATGTAAGCCAAGAACCTCTGGATAACAGAATGCACCGATGCATACAGGAAGAAGCATGGATTGAAGCTGATATTATCAACGCGGCACCGACTGGGCTTGCAAACAAAGATGACATTCTGATGCCAACATGACTGGCTGACCTGGGAAGTAAAGCTTGGTGAAGCACATCTCTGCCACTTTCAAGACCAAGACAGGAGATACTATAACCAACTGCTAATGGGAATAATTAGTAGAAGTACCTTGGCGTGGCTGCTGCATCCGAGGACTTAGCATGCATAGAAATGCACAGTGCGCAGTGTTAACACAACATGATAACTTGTGACATCACAGATTTCTGTGTTAACAAACAAGCTCAAGGTTCCACATTGATGCATCAAGGCCGTTTACTCAGGGACTACAATTGTGAAACTGAGGATGGTCACAGGGCAGAGGCCAGAGCTCCAGCACAGGAAGATCAGTAATACAATGATCCACGGGTCCCTTGTTAGGCCTCTGCGGGCCAGGGGAACAGCCCTGCCTTGATGCCTACTGGTGCTAGCCCCATCTGTTTTATACGCTGACCAGCACTTTGTGATCCATATCACACTGACCGCCTTTACTCCACTAGGACTTTTTATAGTCCAAAGTGGCACTGTGCTAGTAAGACTCCTGACCCCCAACTTGTAGTGAACCTCAGATGTGACTGTCTAAAATACTGTACACTGTACCAGATAAAGTCAGCTAATGCTCAAAGAACCATGACACAGTGATAGTTCCCCCACCAGGCTGAGAAAGTACCAGATAAAGTCAGCTAATGCTCAGAGAACAATGACACAGTGATAGTTCCCCTACCAGGCTGAGAAAGTACCAGATAAAGTCAGCTAATGCTCAGAGAACCATGACACAGTGATAGTTTCCCCACCAGGCTGAGAAAGTACCAGATAAAGTCAGCTAATGCTCAGAGAACAATGACACAGTGATAGTTCCCCTACCAGGCTGAGAAAGTACCAGATAAAGTCAGCTAATGCTCAGAGAACCATGACACAGTGATAGTTTCCCCACCAGGCTGAGAAAGTACCAGATAAAGTCAGCTAATGTTCAGAGAACCATGACACAGTGATAGTTTCCTCACCAGGCTGAGAAAGTACCAGATAAAGTCAGCTAATGTTCAGAGAACCATGACACAGTGATAGTTTCCCCACCAGGCTGAGAAAGTACCAGATAAAGTCAGCTAATGTTCAGAGAACCATGACACAGTGATAGTTTCCCCACCAGGCTGAGAAAGTACCAGATAAAGTCAGCTAATGTTCAGAGAACCATGACACAGTGATAGTTTCCCCACCAGGCTGAGAAAGTACCAGATAAAGTCAGCTAATGCTCAGAGAACCATGACACAGTGATAGTTTTTCCACTAGGCTGAGAAAGTACCAGATAAAGTCAGCTGACCATATTTATGCATATGATGCTCTCAAATCTGCAAAAACCAATTGCCACTCCACAGGGGATGTGGTCAACGTCTTGCTGGCCCCTTTACTTTCCAGGTTATTTCCTGTACCCATTTAAGACTGGGTTGACCTGGGAGCCGGGGTAAATTTTCTTCCCAAATCTGCCGAGCACGGATTTCAAGCTCAGACCTTGGGGCCAGTAGGTGAGCGTCCAACCACTACACTGACACAGCTACCAGTAACAGTCTGTGCCTGACATCTTTACAAACATATTCTAACAAGACCCCAAAAAAACTGGGACAATATTTTATTTTTGGCAAGATTTGGTCACCATGGATCATCAGCATCAGAGAGCTTCTCCCATACACAGCTGTGATTCTATCAGAGAGCTTCTTCTTCCATACACAGCTGTGATTCCATCAGAGAGCTTCTCCCATACACAGCTGTGATTCTATCAGAGAGCTTCTCCCATACACAGCTGTGATTCCATCAGAGAGCTTCTTCTTCCATACACAGCTGTGATTCCATCAGAGAGCTTCTTCCATACACAGCTGTGATTCCATCAGAGAGCTTCTTCTTCCATACACAGCTGTGATTCCATCAGAGAGCTTCTTCTCCCATACACAGCTGTGATTCCATCAGAGAGCTTCTTCTCCCATACACAGCTGTGATTCCATCAGAGAGCTTCTTCTCCCATACACAGCTGTGATTCCATCAGAGAGCTTCTTCTTCCATACACAGCTGTGATTCCATCAGAGAGCTTCTTCCATACACAGCTGTGATTCCATCAGAATACTGTTTACACTCCTCTCTTTCCCAGGGCCGGTCATCTGTTGCTGTCACGTGGAACTCCTCTAACCTATCATAAATCTATCGACGTTGTAGTCTGCCTCTTCTACACTTCACCACCATGATTTTCTCCAGATACTAACCTTTCTATATTCACAGGATATCTTCTGTTAAATAATGATATCTGAATTCAAAAGCCAAGATCTGCAACACTGAGCTCGTGTCTGACAGATCTACAACACTGAGCTCGTGTCTGACAGATCTGCAACACTGAGCTCATGTCTGACAGATCTGCAACATTGAGCTCATGTCTGACAGATCTGCAACACTGAGCTCATGTCTGACAGATCTGTAACACTGAGCTCATGTCTGACAGATCTGCAACACTGAGCCTAAGTCTGACAGATCTGCAACACTGAGCTCGTATCTGACAGATCTGCAACACTGAGCTCGTGTCTGACAGATCTGCAACACTGAGCTCCTGTCTGACAATACAATCCCTAATCAACAAAACAATGAACACATCAAGTGTCTAAAGTCCACAGCCCCAATGAAACACCTAGTGTCAAAAGTGTCAACAAGCTGGGTAAAAGTCAAAGACATGAGGTCTCTTAATGTAGGCATAAGATGAATTTGAAAAAGTGATTCCTTTCTTGTTGACAACACCATTTCCTTCATGGACATGCCCAAAGAGATGGAGGGTTGGCCTGCAAGATGGCAAACACAAGTCAGATCATCCTAGGCATTCAAACATTAATTTATAATCAAACATCCTACACTAGCACATGTTAGCTAAAGAAGGTCATCATCATCATCAGTTTCTACTTCTGCCATGAAGTTCTGTCTGTGGGGAGAAACAGTTATGTACTGCTAAAGAAGGTACATGCAAAATAAAGGAAATCAGAAGCAAGACAAACTAAACACACTTGATGGTAGGTCCAACAGTAAGGGCCATCAATTACTTTACAGGGAAGACAAATGTAAACAGAACCAATACAATTACTTGATCAAGAAAAGGGGTGCTTGCCCAGGCAGTCACCATGCAGCCTACAGGCCATGCTATTTACAACTGGAAGTTTCACTGGAAGCAAAAAACTGTAACACTGTATGTAGCCTATCATGTCATGAGAGGCAGATGGGAACAAGGTAATCTTGACTGTAACACTGTATACAACCTGTCATGTCATGAGAGGCAGATGGGAACAAGGTAATCTTGACTGTAACACTGTATACAACCTGTCATGTCATGAGAGGCAGATGGGAAGAAGGAAATATTTTCCCCCTGGGTGTTGGGTTGAGCTGAGTAAATCTTTTCTACTGAGGTAAAAGCGACCAGCAAGAAAAGGGTGGCTTCAACATGAATACAACGGTGATGAGTAACTGAGACATTGGACAGAATAGGTTTCACCAACGCTGTATGGGTGAGGTGAGTGGATATGGCAAATCTCTGACAATAACATGACTGCCTGACATGGGAGTAAAGTATATTGAAGCACGTCTGTCACCTTTAAGACTGATACAGGAGACAATATAACCAGCTCCTCAAGGGAACAATCAGTATAGGTATCAGTATGGAGTGGCTGCTGTATTGGGGAACACACAGGAATGTGCAGTGACGTCAAGTGTGATAACATAACATTCAGGTTTTCACTACTATACTAGTGACAGGTGTATAAAACGTGTTCATGGATCAGCTGAGACAATCTGTAGGAGAAGATCATGCTAGAGAACATTTGTTGGCGACTACAGCTTTATAGACAACAGCAATGAGCAGGCAGTATTGGCAGATTCCAAGGTGGCAGACGACAGGCTTCTAGCAGGCTCTGTCTTCTTACAATCCAGCAGGTGAAGATGTGTAACTTGAATCCAGAGCTTCGCTGGTCACCAACAAAATCTGTACAACACACGTGAACACACATGCTGAGATAACCTGCAGGGTTATGAGCCTCTTGTCTATGTCCAACTGTCTCTCTCTCTCTCTCTCTGTGTCTGTGTGTGCGTGTGTGTGATGTGTCTGTGTGTGTGCGTGCATATGTGTGTGTAGCTGCAGGAAGTGACAGGGGCTGTTACTCTGTGAGTACAAACACAACCAGAATAAGCCTATGCAAGGGGACACCACTCCCCTGTCTAATCACAACCAGCCATCAGGGCTGTGCACAAACATGACCCTCTTACATTCCTAAATGCCTTTCTACCATAACAAAAGAAGTAAGGGTCCAAACTTATCACAAAAATCACACACAGAGTCATAGTTTTGTTGGCCACATTATGAGAAGGCTAGACACTTGCCGCGGATCGGAAGGTCCTGGGTTCGCTCCCTGGCAGAGCCAGACTATTTTCAAAAATGACCTTGGCTCCCAGGTGGACCCAGCTGACCACATCACCCATCTTGTGCCGATTGGTCTACAAAAATATAGGTCTAGCCCTATATGCCCTATACACCTAAAGGCCTGGAAAAGGGTCCTTTACTTTTTTTTTTTACTTTTTTACATTATGAGAAGAAAGACAGTTAAACATGTGCTCACTGGAAAGGTTTGTGAAAAGAAAGGCAGAAAGCCAAGGTGAAAAATAATCCATCATATGCTGTCATGGCATCAAAGGTTGTCAGCACATGAAGTGATACATGATGCTGGAAACTGCGAGTTCTGGAAAGGCTTGGTGGCTTCTACCAGTCAGGCAATGATGCGTTTATGGAAATAGGAAGTTTCAGCTTGCTTTCTGGAGAAATTACAACTAACTAACTTTGAACCAACATAATCTGTTAAGTGAACCTGCTTTTGTCCCCATAGAAAACCCACAATAGGGACACTATGTCCTTATAGAAAACCCACAATAGGGACACTATGTCCCCATAGAAAACCCACAATAGGGACACTATGTCCCCATAGAAAACCCACAATAGGGACACTATGTCCCCATAGAAAACCCACAATAGGGACACTATGTCCTCATTGAAAACCCACAATAGGGACACTATGTCCTCATTGAAAACCCACAATAGGGACACTATGTCCTCATAGAAAACCCACAATAGGGACACTATGTCCCCATAGAAAACCCACAATAGGGACACTATGTCCTCATAGAAAACCCACAATAGGAACACTATGTCCTCATAGAAAACCCACAATAGGAACACTATGTCCCCATAGAAAACCCACAATAGGAACACTATGTCCCCATAGAAAACCCACAATAGGGACACTATGTCCCCATAGAAAACCCACAATAGGGACACTATGTCCCCAGAGTGGTGAAAGTGACAGGTTAACCTAACCTATCAGTTACTTGATCCTCTAATGCAAGAACATTCTAGTGAAAGTTTGAACCAGGGTTGAAACAAAACAAAAAAAAAACAAAGTTCAAAAATTAATGAACAACCAAAACTTTCTGCCATTTTTCATGCAGAAATCCATTCTGACTGAAGAATTCACAATCAAGTGAAAGTAATTTAATGGCGGGCTCTATCTCTTGGGTGTCAAATATGTGGGCTACAAGCAGATGGAGTCACATGATTATAATTTGCGGTGACCATATCTTTAACTCTGTATCTGTGTGTACTGCAAGAATTGACTGACCTTGCCGCTGTGTCGACTTACAATAACATGCTTCCCAGAGTGGCAGACTGATTACCATGTTGGCATGCCTCAGATATATCCACAGTACCACGACCTTCTTCTTGAGCATTCTGGGCCCCTGAAGTTTGCTGCTGCAGATATCACCAACCTCCATCCACCTCTATATCCAGCTGGTGACCTCAGGTGTCTGTGAGTATCTCCCTGTTGACTTCTTGGTTTGCCTCATACTCTGCCCCCATTCAGCTCCTTTATGTATCCTCTCTATATGCCACAACTATTGCAGTCTATTAGCCCTGGTGATGCCAATAGTAATGGTGATGTTAACAGACTATGAATTTTGCTGCCGCTTCCCACTTGCTCTCCATTCTCTGCTGTTTCCATCTGCGATGATCTGCCATGAGGCTTCATCGCTTTTAGCAGTACAGAATTATGCTGCACCCGGCACCACTACCTGGCCCTGTAAATAGCCTGTACTTAGCAGTACATAATGATGCTGTACCCAGCACCACTACCTGGCCCTGTAAATAGCCTGTATTTAGCAGTACATAATGATGCTGTACCCGGCACCACTACCTGGCCCTGTAAATAGCCTGTACTTAGCAGTACATAATGATGCTGTACCCAGCACCACTACCTGGCCCTGTAAATAGCCTGTATTTAGCAGTACAGAATGATGCTGTACCCGGCACCACTACCTGGCCCTGTAAATAGCCTGTATTTCCACATTTCAACGAATAAAATGAGAACTGACCTGATTCTGAGAATAACTTCATCCCTGAGCTTGGAGCAGCCCCAGTGAGTCCGACCAGGGTGGACGATTCCACAAGTTTCACAAGGCTGGTTTGGGGTCACACGGGAGAATGCTTCGGAGAGTCCAGGCACCTTTCTGGCGCTCCAGGTGACACCAAGATCTAGTATCCCCCGTGGGGGCGAATGAGTAATTAGGACATCTGTCCGTGAAGGTATCTGCCTCCAGTGCATGGCGATCTTCCCTGAAGTGCACAGAAAACCTCGTGCATTGGTCATCCACCTGAATGGGCTGTAGGGTGTTCCATAGAAGTGGATGCCCTCGTAAATAATTGATGAATTTAACAGATAGACAGCCGAAGTAAGTCTTTCTTGAACAGTCTGCAATTTCTTTCCTTCGAGACAAGCCTCATGGTTGCCAGCAACAAACAGTTTTAACTTGTGAGGAAATCTCTCGAAGAAATCATTCATCAACTGAACGATCTCCTCAAAATTGTCCGATCTGAAGATTCCACCAGAATGCTTTGACCAATCAAAATCTCCAGAATGCACAAGGACATCCCCATAAGGAACCTCATAATCGTTTAATCTACTGCGGCGTGAGCTGTGCAACAATGCCTCACCTTTGTGAAAGACATCATCGGGCATCTCCAGAAACTGACTTGAACTGTCAAAGACCTCTCTACTGTTCTCATCAAGCATATAATTGTGATTATCAGGGAGGCTGCTGCGGTAGGTGGAGACATTGCCATTGATTTGGTGTGGGGGTGTCAGCAGGCTATGTTCCAGATGAGTATCCGAGATGTGAACTATCCTAACCACGGTTGCTGAAGGAGAATCTATTGCCACGTAACCTACAGGGATGACATCCAAATTTTGCATTCTCCGCAAGTTGTTTGGTCAAGCTGAAATAATCATTGAAATATTTAAATTAGTATGTCAGACTCCCAATTTCCTCAACATCACATACCTTGACAGATTGGTAAGTACAGTCACTCATGGTGCACCATCTCACCCAGCCACCGATATCAAGTTCTACCTTCTTGTCCCGCCCACAAATTGCTTGTCCTGCCCACAACATGCTTGTCCTGCCCACAAATTGCTTGTCCTGCCCACAAATTGCTTGTCCCGCCCGCAACATGCTTGCTATGTATCTTCTGTCTGTCACCCAGTCTGTCTGTTGTTTGAGGGATAGCAGCTTTGCAAAGGACATCCTTTTTTGCTGTTTTTAAACTAGCTGAGCTCAACAGGAGCAATGACATTAAATAGAACCAGGCTATTCAACAGAACCGGGCTATTCAACTCAACAGAGCAGGGCTAGTCAACTCAACAGAGCAAGGCTAGTCAACTCAACAGAGCAAGGCTAATGAACTCAACAGAGCAGGGCTAGTCAACTCAACAGAGCAGAGCTATTCAACTCAACAGAGCAGGGCTATTCAACTCAACAGAGCAGGGCTATTCAACAGAGCAAGGCTAGTCAACTCAACAGAGCAGGACTATTCAACAGAGCAAGGCTAGTCAACTCAACAGAACAGGGCTATTCAACTCAACAGAGCAGGGCTATTCAACTCAACAGAGCAGGGCTATTCAACTCAACAGAGCAGGGCTATTCAACAGAGCAAGGCTCTTCAACTCAACAGAACATGGCTATTCAACTCAACAGAGCAGGGCTATTCAACTCAACAGAGCAGAGCTATTCAACTCAACAGAGCAGGGCTATTCAACAGAGCAGGGCTATTCAACTCAACAGAGCAGGGCTATTCAACAGAGCAGGGCTATTCAACAGAGCAGGGCTATTCAACTCAACAGAGCAGGGCTATTCAACTCAACAGAGCAGGGCTATTCAACAGAACAGGGCTATTCAACAGAGCAGGGCTATTCAACTCAACAGAGCAGGGCTATTCAACTCAACAGAGCAGGGCTATTCAACAGAGCAGGGCTCTTCAACTCAACAGAGCAGGGCTTTTTAACTCAACAGAGCAGGGCTATTCAACTCAACAGAGCAGGGCTATTCAACTCAACAGAGCAGGGCTATTCAACAGAACAGGGCTATTCAACTCAACAGAGCAGGGCTATTCAACAGAACAGGGCTATTCAACAGAGCAGGGCTATTCAACTCAACAGAGCAGGGCTATTCAACAGAACAGGGCTATTCAACAGAGCAGGGCTATTCAACTCAACAGAGCAGGGCTATTCAACTCAACAGAGCAGGGCTATTCAACTCAACAGAGCAGGGCTATTCAACTCAACAGAGCAAGGCTAGTCAACTCAACAGAGCAAGGCTATTCAACTCAACAGAGCAGGGCTATTCAACTCAACAGAGCAAGGCTAATCAACTCAACAGAGCAAGGCTAATCAACTCAACAGAGCAAGGCTAACCAACTCAACAGAGCAAGGCTAATCAACTCAACAGAGCAGAGCTATTCAACTCAACAGAGCAGGGCTAGTCAACTCAACAGAGCAGGGCTAGTCAACTCAACAGAGCAGGACTATTCAACTCAACAGAGCAGGGCTTTTCAACTCAACAGAGCTAGGCTAGTCAACTCAACAGAGCAGGGCTAGTCAACTCAACAGAGCTAGGCTAGTCAACTCAATAGAGCAGAGCTATTTAACTCAGTTGATTCAGGGGACAACATTTTCAACATGAGGAGCATCATAGGCCGGAGGCTGGAGCCCCAGCATGGACAAAACATAATACAAGTGACAATGATCTTTAGGCCACTTTCTAGGCCTCCGTGGGCCACTTTCTAGGCCTCCGTGGGCCACTTTCTAGGCCCTCATGGGCCACTTCCTAGGCCTCTGTGGGCCATTTTCTAGGCCTCTGCAGCCACTTTCTAGGCCTCCGCGGGCCACTTTCTAGGCCTCCGTGGACCACTTTCTAGGCCTCCGTGGACCAGATTTGGCCCCCAGCTGAACAGCCCTGCCAGAGAGGATCTGCTATTTGATGACTGACCATCACCATGGAGTCTGACTGAACGTTGTCTCTCTTCACACCATGTCCAATAAATCTCTAGTCTATGACTAATCTGTCAAATGGAAAGTTTTTAGATGTAGGACGCTTAAATGGTGAGGCAGACAGAGAAATGCCGTGGCATCATCAGGCAGGATCAGAGACTGTTGATCGTGATGTGTGGTGGTAAACTCCTGGGCAGCAGGGCACATTATGATGCTCATTATATACACAGAAATCTTGCAGTTGTGTTAGAAAGGGGGAACAGGTGTCAGAGAGAGAGAGAGAGAGAGAGAGAGAGAATTATTGTGTATGTAATAAGTGTTAGCTTTCGCAATTAGAATTTAGTTATAACTATTTCAAAGAGACATACCATAAGCCATGTCTATAGTAACAAAGTTGAGTATAGTATCATAATAATATCCAGGGGCATACCTGCACTTACAAGTTACCTAGGCATAGAATTTAGAAACGTTACTGAATATTATTATGTTACGAATTATTGTGAAATGCAATATAAATATCCGTGTATCAATTGTGGGGAACAGTGGAACAACTCTACCAAGCGGTTTCCAGACAAACAATCGATGGCGTCAAACCCCGCCACAGTTCAATATGTAGGCCAACCACGCTCAAAAACTGTTTACCTGGTAGCTACTAGCCTCCTGCATGATACATACCTCTAACTGGAAGCACTGTGGCACATATTCCTGTCAGTGCTTACCCTCGAGAAGGTCCCAGAAATGTCCACAACTGTTAAATAAAAGTACAGCCTGTCTGTATTGTGTGAATGGACTACTGCATTGGGGACGATCCAATGTCCCGGGTACCGTCTGTTGAAACCGCTCCAGGTTAGAGATTCCCCTGTGTGCTCGAACCATGCCTGTTACAAGACTATTCCTAAGTGCAGAAGACCCAAAAGTTGGAAACAAGATTCTACATCATGTCTAGAATTCCCACTCCATGTCCGAGTGTTTGTCTGCGGAAACGTCCCTGTTTGTTCTTCCGCGCCAGCACCACGGAGTTATCTCATGGCTGGGATATATCGATACTTCTTGTGTGTATAATTGTCGATTTCTCTCTGTGTTATGCGAATAGACAGAACCGGTGTCGATACCAATGACTGCATACATCGATGTGGCCCGGTACCCAAGCGTCTGCTAGAACCGTGCGCCCAGCTGTCCCCCTACAGGTGGGCCCCAGGTGAGGTCAAGGTTCACGCAGGGTCGGCCGCATTTATGGACGGATATCGGGTATAATCAGGTGTGCACGTCTTTCTCAGGCTCCAGCCGTTTAGTGTGCACTGATATTAACGTGCACAAAACAACCCAGCGTTTACCCCGGTCTTTATCACCGGACACAACAACAGACGAATAAACAACCGACAATGTCAGCATGGGAAAGCCAGGCTGGTGATGCTCTTTCATCTGGTTTTATACATTCTGTTATCTACAGACTCCTGCCCGCTGCTGCGGGGTGGACCCGGGGGGGGGGGGGGGTGTCCAGCGGCTCTACTGGCACATATAAAACACCGGTCTTGTCCTGTGGGTTCCCGGCTCCCATTTTAGGGAAATTATGAAAATACCCTTTGCCCAGTAATAAGCATGTCGTTAAAAACCATTTATTAGGAGGTTAATAAAGTCGGATATGTTGGATCGAAAGAATATCGCAGCCTAGATGTAAACCCCATCACAGAGTGCCAACTGCACTATTAATGGCGAATATAGAAAAATAAGAAGAGGAGGAGGAGAAGAAGAAAAAGAAGAAGAACAACAACAAACAACAAAAACAACAACATGAAAAGACTGATTTCTTAAATAAATAAACATGAACCTCAAATCGACTCATCAACTGGTTAGTTGCGTATCCTTTTCAGGATGTTGCAGAACCAACCCAGGCAAATTTACGTCCAGTAGTTTGCCATTACTTTCTGGAGGGTCAGCTTTCTTGATATCCCTGTCGAAACCAACGCAAGGCGCATGGCCCGCAACTGGGATCGAACCATGCATCCCGGCATTACGAAGCGTTCGCTTCGACTCAACCACAGAGCCGACGACTCATCAACTAGTAATGGGAAATGTTACCTAAAGTAAAGGCGGTCAGCGTGAGGTTAATCACATCATAAACAAACCACCATTACTCGTGTCTATGATAATATGGTGTTAGTGCAATATGCAAACTTTGGTTGTTGTTGTTTTTTTTTTTTTTTATTAATTTCCATCCGAGCTTTGGTCCTGCCTGGTGACAAGCAGAGATCCCTAGAGCCATTTCCCGGACGCTGATTCAACAGGAGCGAATAACAGAAACCCTATTCAGCCGGGTAAAACAGCTCAATTAGGGTGGGGTGAAGAACCTCCTTGTATTTTATTTTCATATTTTTCAACAGTTACCCCCTTTTCCCAGAGTTCCATTCTGCAGAGTTAATGTCTCAAGGATAAAAATCACACAGCTACAAGTCTCGTTTACCCAGTTTAACTGTATAGACACATAGCACACTATATTGGGGCACCACAAAACGGTTACGGAGACAACTGGGCTTCGAGTTTCCCTGGATTCCTATTGGTCTAGGTCTTAAACATAATGTGCTCTAAACAGTTTATCATTTGTACAGGCTAAAGCGGGTATTTCGTATTAATATTCTATAACTAACTTGAGTGTTTAGTAATCTAAGTATTTTACACGTATATTATATGTATTGCTTATAGTAAAATCAATTTACCGTTAACAATCGTAGTCAAATAGATACTGTTCCAAGAACTGAATGTGATAAACGTAGTTTCTGTGCGGGGTAGGCTGGATCGGCCATAGTCACAACACGTGATCCAAGACGCCATCAACGCGCTAACAAATATACATGTTATGATTCTTAAATCCGCCTCCAACCGCCCCAAACCAGAGATGTTGATGAATCACTTGGCCCTGTCATTTCACG